TGGTTCTTGCGAATTGTGTTCTGTATTGCCTAGGATGATGATCTAATTACGTTATCTAATCTGAAATCTCTACTTCCCCGGTCCAAACCAGCAAACCATGCAGTCATGTGTAAACATTGTAAGCCAATAAGAACGTTCAAGATTATTCGTTTTAGATTATATTAAAATATAATAAATTTTACTAAACTTCATAAATGGATCCCAATAAAATTATGTAGTAATTAACATGAGTGGTATTAAATTAACAATGGTTTTGAAACATAAATTGTCAGTAGGGACAATGGCCCCTTTGCCCCCCCTGCGAGAGCACATGATTCTATTTCCTACGTTCCATATGGCTGGCTATTCTATAGAATTCCGGATTCAACACTGCCCGTAACTTATACATATATTCTCTCTGCAGATGGATTGTTCAGTATCGAAGTGTGCGCGAGCCCGTGTCGGAAGGTCACCACCGCCTTCGTTGGAATTAAAAATAAACAATCCGATCTTGTATGAAGCAGTTTGTCGACGGCACACATTACTTCGTTGTAAAGCGCCCGAGCGTTAAGCCGGAAATTCGACGGGACACTCGGAGCGCGATGTATGTGCTCTAGCGGTGACGCAATAAAAACACGTTAATGTTCACGCACGACCCGGACGCGCATAGGTTTAGTGACAAGACGCACCCGGGGCATGCCTGGAAATAGTGGCGAACGCAGTGAAGGTAGGGGTTCCCCCCACTCCCCCATAAAAAAATATCAGGAATAAAAAATAAACTATCCGACCTACAAATGTATTACTGATAGATAAATTTAAAAAATTATTAGTTATTCAAAGTTTCCCGCGGTTTGTAAATTGATGTGTACAATACAATTATATGATATTTATGATAATTAATAATTAATATATTTATGAATATTTTAAAACCCCCTGCGTTCGCCCCCGTCTGGAAATAATAGATTTTAACGACGGGGGAGACGGGCGCGTTTGCCGCAGCCGTTGGCGTCGTCCAAGCGGTATTTTTCCGGCCGTGAAGATTGGCTGTTGCACCGCAATAAGAACGAAATACATCGATTTTCGAGTATCGTTGGATCCGCGGTCGGGTGTGTCGATCGCCATAAGGACAGCCGTGGTAGAGATTCGCCGGAAGTACGGCCCGAGAACGCGACCCAACGGGGTATTGTAAATCCCGCCTGAAAAATTATGCAGGTACAAAAATGGATTTGTAAATTACGTCCAAAGAAAAAAATTTTAAACTAAGCGTTCCATGTCTGTAATGTTCGAATGAACACGGAACAATTGTATCTCGGACGACAATCGTCAATCCTGTCATATCTTATCAGCTTTGCCACATATTGAGGATCTAATAATTGGAAATATCGGATAGAAATATTATAGATTATGTTCAGTACACGTCCTAGAGTCTTAAACGCTTTTAACAATTTTATTCGATATACAATATACATGACTTATAATATGTGCTAATTATTGACTTGATATGTGAAACATATATTTATTTAAATACTTACTTATAAATGATAATGATTAATCTATGTTATGTCGGTAATAACATGATTAATAAGACACATTCAGAAATTTGTTTATTAACAGTGAGTAATAAATGTATTCTTTATAAACCTCTTGGCTATTGGCTACCTATACGGTTTTGATCAAAAAATACAAATAAAAATAACTTTAAACTTTATTAAATAATAAGCACTTCTTATTTATAACTAAATAAATGTGCACGAGCTACACTCGTTGGTGGCAAATATCGTTTGTATTATTTTGAACGATTGTCGCGACTAATGATTTTGAATAACAATTTTCGACTAATTAAGTACCGAACTATTATATTAAAAAAACTGTGGGTTTTAATTTGTTTTTCTTAATGCAAGATTTACATAAATAGTAAACAAAATATTACAGTACCTATCTACTTCGCCCTACTAGATACATATCGCAACACTATCAATAATACCGTTTCATTCTCTATTAAATATAAAAATTTATCGGAAACTACTTTCTTTTACTGATTAAATATTTACGATTTATTTTTTGCGAATGTTCTCCTAATCAACAATATTCAGTACGTAGGATTTTAATCAAACCTTACATCACATTAATTCACGGGGGGTACTTCATTATTATAGACGTTTACTTCAAAGGTCTGAAACGGATGTATAAGTATGTATTATATTGAATTATTTTTAAAAAGTCATTAACCGTATAAAAAATATAACAGTGCAATAATAACATACGCCTAATTCCTATTTGCATACTTTGGGTGTTTGGATAAAACTTATTTTTTTAAGTACATAATTTTTTTTTTTTGAGAAATGCATTAGAATTAAGAATTATACCTGTTCTTAATGAATAATGTGAAATACAAATGCATTAATTTTTAATTCAATTGTGGAAAAGTAATATTATTAAACAAATAAATAAATAAATCATTGAAATTGTGGAATGTTTTTGTTACATATTTCATAAACTGGTAACAGGCACATATTATAACTAAAAATATTTTTAATAAATTTAAATAAATAATAAAGTAATTTATTTGTTGTTAATGTATTCTTGAATGCATTCATTTAGAAAATAAGGAATGGTCAATAGTTATTCATTCAATATTTATATTGAAGAATCTCGATGAAAAATTGAAATTCATTAAATGTTTCTAATATATATTTTAAAACACCCGATTACCTTGGTTATGATTTCATATACGATTATGTACACAGTATAAAATATAAACTAACTAAATTACAAAATATAACTCAAGGATAAAAGAATAGTTAAAAAAATACTAATGTACGGCAAAAATAGAAACTATTTTAAATTAAAGTCTTGAAAATAAACCGTTCATTATTTTGTGAATAAATTTCAAAACATAGTCTAATACGTTTATTAAAAAAAAATAATAATACAAAGAGAAATAAAAAATTGCACAAAATATCATGAATTATTAAATAAGAATATTTTTTAAATCGTTAGTTAATTTCAAAATGTGAACTTTCATTTTGGTAAAATATTTCAAGACAAAATGTCATTGTTATTCATGTTATTTATTTAATCGTAACTTTAATTACGTAAAAAATTGATAAATAATCCTATAAAATTGATTTAATTCATGACAATATTAATTATTCCATAAATCTTGTCAACATTTTACAATACAGTTCTAATAAATGGTTTGCTGAAATATGACATATTATAACCTAGTGATGTTATTAATTTATTCAATCTCAATGTTTCAATTTGTAACTACATATATTATTATGATTATAGCATCATTGTAACACATGCAGTACATGAATGCGTTTTATCATTGCAAGACCTGCAATTCTTAAGCGTTATAAATGAATCATTGGTCATGTAAGTATACGAATTCCGTTGATACTATTTTTAAAATAAGATTTTTAATATTTAAATGTTGCAATTATATTTTTTTCTTTTTATCCCGTGTCGGGATATAAAAGTATTTGCGGCGAAATGGACGTACCTATATGCTCACGTTTTTCATACTTGGACAATGTCCAAGCAGGATAAAGAGTATAGAATAAATATGATTTTATTGCAGATTATATGGTCAATAACCAGACTTCCATTATGCGAATTGTGTTGCAAGACTTTTACTTGACATGGTTTCCTACGCATGCGGGCGTGGATATATCATTGTATATTCATTTATATGTATCGTCGAAAATTAAACGTTTACAAAAAGTTCGGTAAAAAACTCGCTGTTATATTGTTTCATTTTTGACACGCGTGCGTTAAATACGTATTATATAAACACTGAAATACTTCTTATAGCCTGCGAATCCACTAAAAATCTATTCTCAGAGCTGGTTTATATTTATGAAATCCGAGATGAGTTTGATAAATCGGTTTCTAGTTTAAATATAATGTGTATGTTTGTGTGCGCACGCAAATATAGTGTATCGCCGAACAACGCCAACGCAGATATTTTAAGTCGAGAATTTTTATCGACAAGTTTTTGCAATAGAATTCCGCTCGGAACATGGGAATGCAATACGTGTTCCGTAATATGTATTTGAATATTCGTACGGACGGAGAACTTATAAAACGAATGTCACTGATTTAGCTTCGTATACCAGAGGCTTACCGAACGGAGTCCTTTTCGATGGCAATCGCGCCAAATATATAATACGATGTTTTAACAATACAGAGACGGAAACGGCACGCATTCTGTTATACGTTTAAACACGTGCGGTCGAGTGCACGGAGCTTAACTACTATTGCGAAAAAATCTACACGGGAATTCAAATCACTTTCGCGCTACCCTGCACAACTACACCGTGTACGAGTGCATAAGTATAATTATGTTCGAACGCACATCGCCCTTCACGAAAAACATTTTTGACAGTAATTTTTGTTCTCGTGTTAATTCGTTTGTTTTCAAATCGTTTTGCACTGTCCGCACGTCTACGTCGTATACGCGTTAAAATGTATTCCGCGACTGGAAACGGCTAGAGAAACATTTTAACCGTGGAACAGGATCTATCCTTTTCTACCGTCGTCCGTTGTGTACCCGCCCGTTTTGTCGGTTTTCGTTTTGGTGCCGCTCCGCCAACGGTTTAATGCTCGTTAAACGTTTTGAATAATAATAATAACGATTATAATAACGTGCAGGACGTATTTTTTTTTCTCCAACACACTCTCTCTGTCTCTCATTTTTTTTTCTCTCGCAATTCGTCCGCATACGATTATATAGTGAACGGTACGCATATATACATATATACGTACACAAATATTCAAATATATATATATATATATATATATATATCGAAACCCAGGTAGGTGTTGTATTATTATATTTGTCATTAATGTCGGCGGAGGCGCCTGCCAGCAAAAATATTCCACAAGGGGGGCCCTGCGCTGAGTGGGCGGAGCCGAATGGGCGCGGGGGCGGACACGGGCCGGCCGACCGGTGCCGACCGCGGACGAGCCGTTTGCCGAGCGCCTGGCGCCAGACTGTGGCACACCGGGCCCCGGGCGGACGCATACGGTTACGGACGACGCGTACGCGAACGTCACACGGTCAATCGGAAACGTTTCGTACGAGTCGAATTACGAGCTTTTTGCACACCGTTGTTGTCGTTTTTTATTTTTTTATTTTTATTGTTATTTTTATTATTTTTCCGTACTGTCTAACGCGTACGCTCTATGATTCGTACGACTACTGCGGTACTGGAAATATAGCCAAAAACCATTTCCGCACATTGTGTTTCAAAGTTTTTTCTCTTGTTGTTGAAATCTTAAAAAAATATATATATATATATATAAAACGCCACGAAAAATACTTACGATCTCGGACGGACGGATTTCGATTTCCCGCCAACCGTACCCGGTGTTCTTCAAATTCTCACTTTAATCTAAATTTACGGACCATGTGCCCTGAGAGAAGCTGTCACAACGATCGACGATAAAGGTACGATTTAATAACACTCATTTTTATGCTTCTTCTTACCCTGAGATTGGTCTTTGAAACAGTCTTTGAATTATCACTGTATTCATATCCACGTAGCAGTTCGCTAGCCTTGCAGTGGAAATTAATTTTTTTATAAACGCCGTTCAATGTCCACTGACTTATTGATTCGTACGTGTTCTACGCTTCCTATGCTTGATCTTATATAGAATTATGTCACCTATTGTATACATGTTTATGGTAATCTTGTGTAAGTACGATGGGTGTTTAAAATCAATTTATATGAATATCAATTAATGTCCTGAAACGTTTTTAATAAAACAATTTCAAAGGTCTACATACATTTTAATGATAAATATATGCAATACATGTTTGGGTTGTCTCTATCAATAGAGAATCCCCAGTCTTAGTCTAATATTTTATATTAAGTCAAAGGGTCTTTGATGTTTGATACGTCTTATGTCTTGAGAGCTATCGAATAGTTAAACTGCTATTGGATCGATGTGTTGATCTGGATTTATCTCGTGTTTCTCGGGCAATTTTAATAATCTCATACTGGACGGAGGTCATCATAAAATCTCGGTAGATATATATTTATTATAATGAAAACAGTTTAGCTATTGGGGATAAGTTGATAAACTAGATTTAACTGAAACTATAGTTAGAATATATTAACATTAACTCTATACCAAATCTGCGTCATAAAGTTAAACATAATATATTTTTGACGCAATATCATTTCGGTACCTACTTAAAACGTTTAACCATTAAAAAGATTTTTTTTTATTTATCGTTCACCTTCACCATTAGCCATATCCATTGAGAATCAAGTCATTACGACAACTGTAAAAAAATAAATGTTTCACCTACGCTTTTACACCCAAGTGTAGGGTAATAATATATATATATATATATATATATATATTATACTTCTTGAATCGGTATCGTGCAGGTAGAGTAAAAAAATCGTAACGTTATATTGATTTTCTTTTGAATAGACGTTTAACATAACTTTAACGGGTCGGATACTTATAATGTTGATCTTATAAGTTTTGATACATTTACATTTTAAACGTATGCGCTTAATAAGTTACATCGTTATGATTTCTTGATTCGATATTTAAGACCAGCGAAGCATTCGTGAATTTTGTTTTGTAGAAAATGTACACAATTCGTTCGTAGTGAAGTCTAAATTTGAGATAACGGTCGACACTAAAAAGATAGAAGCAAATATATCTTCAATGACCCATTTGAAAACGCATAAAATAGTGTTCGACGACAAACAAAACAGTTTGAAAATCACCGAAAGATTAACGGTCTTCGCGGATTTCATTGAACAGTTTTTTTTTTTTCCGCGGCCACTACTTGCCATTGATAACGTTCGGTTACCGTTCATAAAAATATGTGTTACCCGTCGGGACGGTTGACTATTGTGCGGCGTATGTCGATGGGGGGCAAGGGAGAGGTGAATCGCATGCATCGCATGCGTACACGTACGTGTGCGCGCCCGCAGTATACCTAGTACTCGGCGCAGTTACAACGATATTATATCGCCTCGAGTCGAAGACGATTTCCGCGCGACAAACGATCTGCACAACAACGGCACGTATCGGCGAGTACGCACATTCCGTACGTATACGATTTCCGACGCGTCGATTCCTGCACACGTACGAATCGTATACAGACCAATACGGTTTTCGCAAGTCGGAAACCCGTGTCGCACCAGGGGGGAGGGGGCACCGTAATGCACGCGTTCGCATACGTTTTCGCGCGTTTGTGTGCCGGTCACGTTTTGGAAATCCCGAAAGTTTGCGTCAATTTCAGCCGCGATGCAGGGACGTATTTAGACTTACTTCTAGGTGGGGGAAGGCGACTCACATTTTTTCTTTAATTCAGGCTCAACATTTACCAGTAACATTTTTGGTAATATTTAAATCAGGTGAATCCGTAATATTTATGGTTTTTTTAATTTTTTTTTAATCCAATGCCGGATTCACTTAGAATCGACTTTTGTGTAATTCATTTTTAACACCTGTCTGTGTTTTGTAAGTTACGCTTGTGTTTTATTTGATTTTTCACCAAGTACGGACAACGATCCACGTTAAAAAAAAATTGAAATATGTATCTCACATATGATCGATTCCTTAAATACGGATTCAGGGGAGAGCGGTCACCACCTTCGTCCCCCCTAAAATACGCCCCTGCCGCGACGCCTTCAATATCGGACACGGTATCGCCCCCGCGCGTTTGGTATAAAATTCCGAGCATGCACTGCGCTGTTACGTGACCGCGTTTAATGGGGGCCAATTTGTCGGTCGGCAAGCAGGTAATTTCGGGTAATCCGACGCCTTGGCGGTACGGTCACGTTTTAATGTTCATTTTATTGTTACAGCACTGCACGTAGGTATACGTCTATGTGTCTGTGAGTAATGGTTTTTTTTATATATATATATTTTTTTTTATTTCGCTTCGGCCGTGCTTACACGTATGTATACATATATCCTTTGCCTGATACTACTATACGTACGTACGAATTCAGACAGTGCGCCCTTTGTGCACTGCGTAACCACGACGCATCGCGTTCACCGCAGAGAGGGCAAGCAGGTACCCTGTCAACATGAGTTTTCCTTTTTTAAAGATTTTTTTTTTCCGTGATGTATGATTTTTTATTATTATTATTATTATTGTAGTCTCCGTGTCATCCGAGGGATGTATTATACATTCACTTGGACCGTGTGATTAGCGTGGGAATAACGGGAGCATGATGCGTAACAATAAACGGCACCGATGTATAAACATCGTTGATTAAAGAGATCATTCAATTCGAGGGTATAATAAATTCGTATAAATAAAAAAATCTCCAGACATAAATATGCCTTTTAAGGAGATTAATGTCATATTCATTTGATTTACAAACGTCGTACGATAAACGTTTGTCTGAACCGAAAAGAATACGTAATCGATTTAATTTCTATAATATTATATAAAATCTATAAATATAAATCTATGTGGTAAACATTTTGCAATGCGTATATATCTATGTAATTGTATATTTAATACAACACAAAACTTATGTATTCGATATACACCTAAATTACACAAACTGCAACGGATTACAAATCTATAGAAGTATAGGTGAAAATATTTTTAAAATTAACCTTTAATGAGACAAAATAAATTTAATTTGCTCAAGTTTTATCTATGTTTAAGAATAATGTACCACTGATACTAATGCATATAACCGTCAACATTCAGAGTGTATGCGACTTCGTTAATAAATAATTATAAAGCCTAATTGAATGGGTTATCACACGTTAAAAAAATAATATTTTAAATACTGATAATTATATAAAAAAAATAATTTTACAGATTTTTATTCAATTCATTAAAATATCTTATACTATGGATTAAATTACAGTTGTGTACAACTACCTTTTTACACGTCAATTATCTATTTGTAAATTAAAAAAGATTTTGTGAAACAAAATAAATAAAAAGCTCTTTTATTAAAAAATATTTATCCCAGATAAGTATGGTTTAAATAAAAACCATGACATTTATAATTTAGTTTTTACACTGATTTAGTTATTTCAAATGAATTTCGCTTGATTATAATATAAATATGTTTGTTTGAAGTATTTAACTATCGCTGAAAATATAATAGATTTGTATAAAATTTAAATCAAAAGTAATAAAATCTTAAATATGTATACATAAACGATACAAAACAAAAAAAAGCAATGTAATAATGAGACGAATCACTAGAGAATCACTCCGTATACAGTTTTCTAATTTACCCATTACGTTTTACTGACGAGTACCTATAAGCCAATTTCGAATGAGCGCCATAACTCATAAATCACCCGCGGCAGACGTGATTTAAAAATTATTATTATTGTGCCTCCCGACACCCATGGAGCCATCGTGTATAATGTATATATAATACTTTGTGGCCTCAAGGAACGATCAATTTTCATTCAATTAAATTGGAAAACAAATTTTTATTTCTAACAATAAATTCCTAGAAATACCCTGACAATATTCCAATTTTTATTTATTATTATTATTATGTTCCCCCCACCCAAAACGCGTCACTCGGCCAGAAAGCGGGTTAATAATAGAGATTGGCCAATTGTTCCTGGCAGCACTTAATAACCATGTGTGCACCCTATCCGGCTGACTGATTGATATTGACGTGTGAATCTTAATTGACAAACCGTCAGATTTTCAACAGCTATATTAACAATAATATCCGGTGCGTCGGAGGTCCATTGACTGAATAAGAGTATTACTTGGAAATAATATTATTTTTTTTTCATTAGAACCTTATTTTTTCAACAAAAAAAAAAAAAAAATGCTGACACTCCCCATTACTGTAAAAACAATCGCTCTAAACGTTTTTTATCACTTCTTTGGTTATTATTATTATTATTTATTTTTTTTTTAAACTTTCCATTGTGAAAAACGGGAAGGCAATTTCAATTGTTCGTTTTCTTACGATTATTCGCAAAAAATTATACAATGATGTTTTTTAAAATTACAGGTCAGCAATATTTATCTACATAGATAAAACAAAACGTTATTTTATGATTCTTAATAATAATATGGTTCTACAAACATAAACAAAATGTAGTGTTTTCGAAAAACTTAATAAAACGATCTGTAACGAAATAACAATGCAATTGCTTGATTATAGAATATACAATGTGTCAGATTTGGTATAAACACAGACTAACTTATCGTTATAATTTTTGCTTCAATCTACGTTTAGTACCCATAGATACTATTGTTTTTAACAATAAAATGATCCGAAGAAAAATCGCGTATTATGTTTTTCTTATCGGAACAGTGTATTGTCCTACGTAAACAACACCGCATGTTTACCTCAAAACAATCAAGCTTTCGTCTATATCACGAAATAATTATTAGAATTAATTATGTGATGCGGTATTTTTTGTTTTATATTCTACAACACTCCAACAAATTGTTCTAATTACCTTTTT